TTACATGTGCACATTAAGGCGTGTGGGTATGCATAAAGTTGAAGGATCATTTGATATGATCTTCACCTGTATGGGTAATATTACATTTGATAGTGTTTCCACTCTTCATATGAAAAAATACAATGCCATTATCCCATTTACAATACGAATAAGCACAGTTTAGACTTTGACTTGCCAGTAACAATCCATATGATTCATGTAGGCTTGCTTCGTCTCCAAAGCATTTGAACGGGACATTAGTGTGTGCCTCATAACCATTAGGATCAGTAAGTGGCTGGATTCTACATACAGGTATATTGAAATTGGACTGACTTTGAATTGAGAAAATATATACATTTTTGTATGTGACATTCCCTTTGTCCAAATAGACAAGGTAAATATCATTAGATTAGTTGTGTATTTGTACATAATCATAACGAATACTGAAATTTGGTGACTGCTGATCACAGAATTTTTCAAAAACACTGAGTGCTCTGTGCAAATTGACCAAATTTAACTCTTTTGGCGAGATGAACTTCGTACACTTTTTATCTCCATTCGACCTCAGTTTCCTGAAGTAAGCATAAACTTTCGAGCCAGTGTCTGGTTCAGCCGCTTTCATCTTGCATAAATCTTCGTTTTTGCCACCACAGGCATAGAGCTTTATCTCAAATTTCAAACTGTCTGACTTGAGGGCTAAGTTTAATTTTTCCTACTGTGTGGACGACATCACTCCTGGGTATTCTGGTTTTGGAGCTGCTTCACAAACACTTTTTATAACAATTGATTCATCATAGGATTGAGTAGGGATTCTGTGTGACACATAAGAGGTGTGAGAACACCTAACGTCTGCTACAATGAGATCTGAAATATGATCAGAATGTAACTCATCTAAAACGTATTTCTCACACTGACTAGGGGTGGATGGATTGTGAAGATAAATAATATTTGATACGGCACCATAAGAATTATAATTAGTTTTGAACTAGTTGAGGATTTGTGCTTCATATTAACTGAGGTTTTCACTAGAAACGAATGCACTGTGAAAACAAGCAACATTTGTTACGATATTTCAAAAATTTGATTCATTTTAAATATTTCTCTCAAATTTATTAAAAACTACATTAGAAACTAACGGATCATTAAGACAGCCAGTATCTGATATGACAACATTAGAAATTTGATCAGAAATCGATTCATTTGAAACATTTCTTTCACAATGTTTTTAAATTTCACTCGACGTGACTGGATAATTCGAATGAAAGGAATCTGATTAAAAGAAAATTTGAACACTGCCCAGAGTCAATTTTATTAAATAATTTGTTGACCTCTTCCTAAATCACAGACCTGTTCCTTGTTGCATCAGGAAATGTATCAAATACCCACTTAAATATGTAGATAATTTTTGAGTACAATTCCGGATTTGATTGTTTAAGCATGTGTTCCTTCAATACAACGATGAGCAGTAAACGAAATCTAATGAACACGTCATCATTAAACTGAAGCATCGATTTTACTTGAGACTGAAATGTTCGTACACTAGTAACCGAGAAGTTTAACAGTAACTTATGGAATGGGATTTGGAGTACGTTGGACTGTAAATTATTGAGTAATGGTCTAACAGAAACTGAAATCCTCGCTATGAGAGTAACTACAGTGAGATTTGAAAGAGTTCAGGTTGGTCCAATTTCTTCTAGCAAATCCCCTTTTATATATATACACATAAGTTGTCTCTCTATGGATCGACAAGGACGTGACAAATAAATGTGTCATTGTATTCCCGCAAAATACTATACTGTAACCAAGACATATAATTATATATACACATTTCTGCTGGTGCATGAATGGATGGATCTCTGTTTTTATCTGTCTTACAGATTATGAATATGCTCAGTCAATAATACGTGACCCTCTCTCGATATATATATTTATCCAATCACAGTTGCCTACTTAATGATAGATCAAGACTTAGCTGAAAAAAATACGGAACTAAGGTCATTAATAGTCGGAGTAAGGATGGTCTTCAGGAAAAAAAGTGGCTTAAACTCTAAACCTAAGCAGCATTTATTCTTACTAGTTAGTAAAATCCATCTGAGACCTTCAGTTATTACAACCCATTAAAACTAAGTACAGTAATTGCCAGTATCTGCTAGTTTATATATTTTACATGTAATACACTGTACTACTGACCACTATTCAGTAGCTTGCATTCATTGAAACATGCGGAAAGCTCGTATCTACCTGAATTAAACTTTTAAACACGTAGATCTTAACACTGTTGTGACGCATTCCTACTTCAAGTTGAATATCTTACTTCCCTTTGTGCAATCTCTATTACATATTCCACATTTTGTAGCCTGCTTTAATTTAACCCGTCTCTCTACTTCAAAAGTATAGCCCCAAATTCATTTTGTTACCTCGAACCTGCTGAAAGCGTATAAAAAACGAGTATAACGTAGAATGACTAGAAACTAAATACTATCTGATAATTAATTACTCATCAATAGAATGCCAAAGTGTGAAGTGACACAAAACTTATTTTGAGATCCAGAGTGATTGGATAAGTATTCGCAAAGATCACCGTTTGAGGATATGGGACCTCAAGGCAAGTATTATTCTTTTCCACTTTGTCATCAAGTTGTGTATCCTATCAATCGTTACTGATGCTTTTACTCAACTATTTATAACAAGATTAATGCACCTGATATTTCCATATTTATTTATGGTTATTTATTATTTATTTGAACACACAAATATTGATATAAGGGGGCAACTAATACATATGCTCCACACAAAACAATGAGAATGAGGGAAAAAAGGTAAGGAACGTAAAAGAAAAAAAAGAAGACGAACAATAACGACCAGATTAGTGTAAGGTAGTGTAATAATAATATTAATGGGGGAAACGGACAGGTACAACTTGAAAGCATTCTTTCAGGTAGGGGAGACACAACCACTTTTTATGAAGAAAGTAAAGGAAGGTTACAGCAGGATCGCCACTGGCTTCTATTCTGAGCCATATCTGATAACTTCTCTGGCCACTGTGTTGCACCATCTCTCGGACCCCAGTCAGGGAGTCGTGAAGGACCAACACGTGCTAGCCCTTTGCAGCTTCCTTTCATACCCCGACACCATGTCATAAACTGATCACCTCTCCGCTTTTTCCAACCAGTCCAGGCGTCGGCAAATAATGCGCGGTGAGGAATTCTCTAGGACGACATTCGCAGAAAATATCCAAGCCACCGAAGTCGGTGTTTCAAGATAGTGATACCAATTGACTTATCGTCTCTGTGCCCAGACAAACGATGCCGAACCTCTGCATTACTAACATAGTGTTGCCACTGGATGTCAACGATGGTCAAACACAGCGAGTCGTCTAACATCCTCAACTCGGAGAGGCCACGTTTCACAAGCATACAGCAGAACTGCTCTCACCGACGCGTTGTAAATCCGGCCTTTTACAGCCAGACTAACATCACGAAGGCGCCAAAAATGGCCCAGGTTGGCATAAGACGCTTTGGCTTTCACTATACGTGCATTGATTTCATCACTCACACCCTAACCAGCGTTTATGCAGCTACCCAGATACACGAACTTCTCGACTACTTCTATCTGCTTACCATCCAGGGTGAGTACAGGATTAGAATCCTACCACTCTTGTAGAAGTACTTTGCACTTCGAAGGTGCAAAGCACATACCATACCTACGGACACTGATTGCCAACTGATTAAGTGCGGATTGCATGCCTTGGGCATTATCGCACAGTAAGACAATATCGTCCGCATACTCAAGGTCGAGAAGTCTTTCTCCAGGCAACAGATCCACACCGCCATTACTTACATCCATCAGAGCTGTTTCCAGAATGTCATCGATGGTAAAGTTGAAGAGGAATGGTGAGATTGGGCAACCCTGTCTAACCCCACTGCTCGAATGGAACAATGGAGAAAGGTGGTTGTATACCCTCATTCTGCCTGAAGTGTTTGCATGTAGGGTCTTTAGGATGTTAATAAACTTCTCAGGCACACCCTTTTTCAATAGACAATCCCAGAGAACAGTCCTGTCCAACGAATCGAAGGCAGCCCTGATGTCAAGAAACACTACGATTGTTGGCCTTTGATAAGTATGACGGTGTTCTAACATTTGGCGGAGGGTGAAAATATGACCAATACGTCCTCGACCAGAACGAAAACCAGCCTGCTCCTCGAGAGTCAATCTTTCTCGGGTTATGAACAACCTACGAATTATGACGGAAGCCGATAAGTTTGGACGCAATTGGAAGTAAACTTATCCCTCGATAGTTGTTACAGGAACGACGTGAACCCTTTTTAAAGATAGGGACAACTATCAACATAGAAGACTAGCCCTCAGTAATGTTGAATCTTTTCCACATGACTTTACAAAGCCAAAGAGTCAATATTGTGTTATTTCAAAGTGACGGGTAGTGGTTAGCTCGCCTACGTTATAACCAATAGGCGATGAGTTCAAAATCCAGCAAACCTATATAGATTTTGGCGATACGAATAGTGTAGTTCAAAGACGAGTGCATGTATACGAAGACGTTGTAAAACAATTTTATTCATAACATTACGTTGATGAGAACTTATGAGCTACAGATTCATTGGTTTCCCATTACCTTGTAACTGATCCTTCATTCCTCTCAAATCATATTATATACGCTAATACTTTTACTAATTCTACCAATCAGGTATTTGTTCTGATAATTCCACCTCATTGTGTGATATGGCGTGGTAACATTACTTAAGCATGTATATGTCAAGGTCCACGTTGCTTACTATTGATTGGCCAATAACTGAGTACAGTTAGTCAAATGATTTGATAGAGACACAAAACAACACAAAGTCATTACACAAAATGTGTGTAAATATGCATATTGTACAAATAAAATATAATACAATTAATATTTCGGTTACAATACAAGCACTGGTGAGGTTTGCGTGTGTGCATGGAAGGATTCTCATGAGTTAACAATGTCCTTTTAAAATGAGATCCACATTCGAACCTCAATGTGTGATTAAACCGCGGCAAATTGATTGAAGTTTAACAAAATAATTTCTTAGTGCCGATTCTAAATTGTCGTGCATCTGTGTATTAAAAAAGAAGACAAAGTAAATGATAATTTTAATGCGTCAACTTTACTACTTGAAACATTGAGTAGTAACTGCGCTACGTGAAAATAATTTACGTGGTGAGGAGATTTATGATATCAGTGAATATTTTCTCGATATTTGTATTATTTGAGCCGGACAATGTATTTAAAAGGTTATCATCATCATATTTACATAAAGAGATTGATCAGTCTTTAACATCAATAACGGAAGAATTCAAACACTTCCAGATAAAGAGTATCCTTACTATAATTCTGGAAGGTTTCGTACTTCAGTTCTAGGAGGGACACGTGTGTACACACCTAGGAAATCCCATAACTAGGACAAAAAAAGCTATCTAATGTTCTTAGGGATTTTCTAACGATTATTGTTTGACTACAATTAGTCAATTATGTAAATTATCATCAAAACCTAAAAGACCTCTCTAAAACCCTCACTGTAATACTTATAGTCCGTCCTTTAACATACACAAACAACGACTGAGCTACAAACGCAATTTTACATAATAAGACAGGTTCATTAAGTTGGAAATATTAAAACATCAGATGAAATTATGATAGACTAAAATCTCAAATATAAGATTTTATTGATCAGCTTATCTAGCAAGTAAAGATTTATGCAGTTGGTTACGAACCACATACTCTAAGTTTGCAGGTGAGTTACATTACCCGCTTGATCGAAATAGATGGAGCGGGGTTAGAACCTGGGACTTAGCGTCTGAAAGTCGAATGCCTAAACCATTGAGTAAATACCCGATCTATCTATTACAAGTATCCAAGTTATTACCATTATTAAAGAGACATAGTTTATTATCTATCCATACAATAATCCACACCGATAACGTTAGGTATAAATTTGAACATGAAAATTATCAATTTAGTGAAATTAAGAAAATAGATTAATGTGATTAGGAAGAGCTTACAGCTTCACAGGTTTTTGATTCAGGCGATAATACTTTCAATGCATTCAATATATAAATAAATAATGTATGTGGAAGATACATTGTGCCTGATATCGTCATAGTTTTATTGGCTTTTCGTATAGGATTTGTTGGATCCATTGAATTGGATAAAGTGGACTAAAACAGTAGTGGTAGAGAAGGATGGAAAAAGAGTAAATTTTTACAAAATTAATTGTTCAGACAAAACAACGACGAATGGCGTGATTAGAAATAGGCGATGAAAACTGAGAGAGAAAAAAAATAAAACACCAACTTATCTGACCTTATGATAACATCCATTTATGATGAAGTTTAAAGGTTGTGAATTTGATTCTGTGTTGTTCTGAGGATGAGTTCCGTTTTAGTGGGTTTTTTCATTCATCCTTTTAATCAGCCAGTTAAAAGCAAGATAAAACCTGACGATTATTTGTATTGGATTTAAGCTGCTACAATATATCAGGATAGTATGGTTAGTACAGAAGTAATAGTAGTGTTAATAGTAGTATTAGTGGTGGTATACAAGATTAACTATAGAGAATATGATTCGGAAAGGACCAATTAATTCACAGAATAAAATGCATAAAGTTCAAAATTTAAAGTAAGATAGACAACAAATGCATTTTCACCATTGTGATCGAGTCTGAACAGTATTGCCTAACGTCTGAAACTGACGGTTTTGATAAATAGATGAACCTCAACTAAACAGTTTACACCTATGTAAATCGCTCAGGACAACAGTCAATAACTATATAAACTGATATCATGATTCATTTTAGCTGCTTTTATTTTTTCACCAATCTCTTTACACCGCCTAACAATGTGCATCTAAGTAAGCGGTTGTTAGGACTACACTACACATATCACAATCACCTCAGTCGATAAATATTCTAACCTAATCGATCAATTTATTATATCCGTTTAGTACTATGTTTCTAATCATAGAAATGGTTACTTGATGGTTTTAATATACCCAAACAATGCTTGGAAGACACATATAAATAAGTATTAATGACACAACAGATTTATAATTCCCTATCACTAAAATTATAGATTTTGGAAGTGCACACAATTGTCTTATTTAAATACCGCAAAAAAAACATATAGAGAAGATTAAATAAACTTACTCGTAAACCGAAGGATGATGGATCTGCGCCTTTATTCATAGCTGCTTCGAGCATATCCATAGATAATCGATAAGCTGTTTCTAAACGATTGAATTTTATGTACAGACGTAATAAGTTAACAGCTCGTTCTGTTGCGTATGAAGTAGACAATAAGCGTGAAGTTAACCACTCGGGTAGATATAATTGATTAGGACCTGAAGCGAGTATATTTTCGCAAGCAATTAAATGTAGAAAACCATGATATTTTGTTTGAAATGTTGATTGTTTTTCATTAGTTGTACTTGGAGGATCTAGACGTGTGAGAACTGTTTCTAGGAGACGCCAATACATTTCTGGTAAGTTGCATCGACTAAGTAGAGAAAAAACAACCGGGAATTCCAGAGGATGTTTGGTAAAAAATAATGAATGATTAAAAAAAAGCCAAATTATGGGTGTTAGGCTCGTAGAGATTGTTCGATTTTGTTCAGATCACGAACTAATTTTAACTAGAGTATGACTGCAAACGTGAAAGCACTGAACGTCTGTTTCGTTTTAGTTTATGATTTCTCAGTATCGAAAATCCACGACCTAACCACAAAGGGTCAAATTCAGCTTCGCGAGTAAACTCCACCTCTAGACCATTGATCCCGCACACAATGGTGTACAAGTACTGCAATATCATGGATTGATAGAAGTTAGACTTGTACACCATTGGATTTCGGCTGTTGTAGAGATTAGACGTTCGAGCGCAAGACTGAATTCGATCCTTTGTAGAAGGGGTCAAGGAGGAATCTTATAGTAGGATAAGACGGCCGTCCAGTATTTCCATATATCCAGCATTAGTCTAGTATCAGTTCGTGGTCTCAGTAACAATGTCAGAGCTTAAAAACATTGTATATATTCATCATCATCATCATCATGAGTATTCAAGAGGATCGGGTAATTGATTAGCGGCTAACCATATCTGATCATCATATCATTGACGAATACTGACTAAAGACTAGAATACTTTCCAAAAAACACAACAGTATACCAGTTCTCTTTGAACATAAACAACAAACCCTTTGAAATAAAAAAATCATTTTATCTGGCCAATAAAATAACAATCAAATCTTACCTAGAATAATTATAATTAGAATGGTATGGTACTATTTTTAAGCTACTGGATTTTTCAATAGCGCCGATATTATCACCGTCGTTTCCAACTTTATCAAAATTTAACGTGGACAAATTAGATAAAGACTGTTGAACTAGATCGGCCTCATGCTCTAAAGGAGATGAATCATTCGCCAATCCTGGTAGTACTGGGAATTGATTTAAACCAGTTGTGATGACAGAAGTGGTACGATGAATATCGTAAACCTCTTTTCGGCGAAGTTCATAATTAACTGTAGGCTGTGAAAAGTTCACCAAGTTGACACTACCAGTTGCGCATTGAGCAAGCTCGCTACAGCGTAAACTTATACTATTAATGATGAGTGCAGGATCAAGATCGTAGGATTCACAAAGACGAACAGCTTCCTGAAAAAAAAGAAATTTAAAAATTATGTAGAAGATTGTGAGAACTGGTTTACGATTGACTAACACCTAGTACTTAAAGAGTAAATTGATTGTTCAACTAGTTAATGATCAAGTGAATCGAAGGAACGTGTAGCATTCAGAGACAGTTAACACTTAACAGAAAGAAATTCGTTGGAACGGCCAGAATACAATATTAGCCTATGAAACCATAGATTGGGCAGTAATCATCTGTGGTGGGTTTCCCCTCAAAATGACAAGTCCACACCATTGGTGACGAGTGTCAACTAGTACGAAACCTAATTCACAAGTAGGGTATCCTGTCAGCTATTGTTAATTATGTGGCATAGAAAGATAGTTCATTTAACGTCTAATCAATTAGACTGGTGGTCATAGTGAAGCTTGACCGATAGAATTCGATCAGCATTAAGGACTAGAAAGCATGATATTGGTTATTAATCAATATATTTATCAACCAAGATTAATCAGCCGAAAATGGGGAAGGTTTTGCATTACTTTCTTGGATTCGCCCTGACAAAGACTTACATCATATAATGCAACGGACAATAATCCTCGAACAACTTCATCTGGTGTAAATACACCCGCCCTCAACATTCCCTGTTCCCAACAAGCCTGAGCAAGACGAAGTCGTGCACGTGTCAGTATGTAAGCATTTAATAAATCTTTCAATGTAAGTATTCGTTTATCTTTTCCAAGTCGTGGTAAAGATGGGTCAATTGTTGTTGCATTACGTTTTGCACTTGAAATTGGTTGTTCTTGGTCTAGAGAGTTATCCTCGAAATTATGTTGATCACTCGTATGCTCTTCATCAATAATATTGTCCAAAGCAAGGTCATCAGGATTGGCAAACGCCCAGTCGTCATTAGGATACTGTAAAGAAAAGACAGATGTTTTTTATTTGCAAGCATAACGATGAATAAGTTAAATATGAATTTTCGACGTGGGAAATTCATATACTCTTATGAATAGAATCATTTTATACACTGCAATTTTTAACATTCAGGGAAAATGCCCTTTATTAATCATTACATGACTGATGGATAATGTATCTTTAACAATTATTAATGTTACTTGTCTTAATGGATTAAAAGTATTCAGCAGTGCCATCTGAAGACACCTTGACACAGGACATCAATTCGATACATTGAAGTCATTCAAGGTGAGTAATTAACAAACTCCAATCTTTTGAAATTTGCCGAAGCGATAGCGATCAAACGACTAAAACCAGATCTATTTAGCCAAAAATGTAGTAACAAATCTTTCTTTGCCATTGTAACATTAAAACACATTTTTAATTATTACGTCGTTCATTATTTCAACTCTTTCTGAAATTTAATTACATCAATGTTATTTTTCTTCAATTCATAACTGACTGATTTCATTTCATATCTTTATTTATAACCAGTAATCTGTTTTCAATTGCTTCATTAGGCGATAATCTAGCGTTTGTTAAGCTTATGTGTTCTAAGCACTGGCTCAATGTTCTGGGACTTTCCCTCTCAAATTTTATTTATTTATCCGGAACAAAATTTTTATGACCTTATTAACTTTATTGGAATCTTCGCTTCATCATGATACACATATTCATCTCTAATCACCCTCGTATTTATAAGTATGTCAATATCTATAATAACTTAGATTTTAAAATGTTACAGGTTGTAAGTAGCTAATGAAAACCTAACGAAATAAAGTGAATTCATATTAATCTGCACCAATCTTCGTTTTTGCTCTCTTTAAAATAATAAAGGGAACTATGTGTATGACATTACCGTATTGTCTGATTCAGTTTCAGTCATATTATCATCATCTTCATCATCCTCATTGTCGACACTGACAACTACATCCTCATTCACAGGACCTATGCATACAAGCCATTGATTATCTTTGGGCACTAAATAAAGTGTATTAATAGCTGATGCAAGACAAGCAGCTTGACGTTGTAATCCAATCAGAATACGTGCACCACCAGAACGAAAGTTACTCAACCGTGAAGCAGCCATCATAGTATCTTCAATTAATCGATAAGAGTGTTCAAACATAACAGAAGCAGCAGCGCGATAATCAGCTCGATGAATATGATAAGCGTATAACACATCATAGTATGGATTAGAGCCAGCTGGTGATGAGGAAGCAGATTTCTTTGTAGACGGATCAGGTACTATGACAACATCAGCAGCACGAGCTCTAGCTTCCAATATAGCAATAAACTAAAAACAATAAGAAATAAAGTTAAATTTGGATTATTAATCAGATGATTAAATATTCACTACATATAAACAAAACAAAAGATCGACAAAGAGCTTAACTAGTGTTTAAAATAAAAGGTATAAACATCATATGGACAGTTGTAACGTGGAAACTTCATCATTTGTTAATTTTCCTACAATTGCAACTGTTAATTTTGTTTATATTATTTTCTCAACTAAACGTTTTTTTTTTCTTTACTCCTTCATACTACTTGATAACATTCAGTAAACAGTTGTGTTTCTAGTAATCGCTGAAGAAATATGTTATGGTTGTTTTATCACGTTAGGTGGCGTAACAATGCACTTTGATTTTGTATTAATTTAGTGATAATTACTAAAGAACTTGACAACTACTTAACTTTTGAAATGAAAAACAATGGATATGTAAAAAGTGTTAAAATACTATCTCCCACAAAGTTAATAGTGATTTTTTTCACTCACTTCGTTTTCCATAGGTCCATATTGAAAAGAAATCAACTTGGATGCTTCACCACGATCACAAACAGTGACAATCAACTGACGTAAACAATCTCGACGCCTTAATAAAGTTTGAAAAAAATTTATCATGGATTAATATGCCGTTCACATATGTTAGTCAAACATAAAAAATGTAATTAACGAGGGTATAGCGAGGGTACAGATGAATTTCTAATTAAAAACACGACACGTGATCCTTAAGTCCTTCCAAATGTTTCTGAGACGCTTCTATTCATTACTGATTGAATAAAGCACTTCCTGGTGTTCTCTGAACTTCCAAAGACTTGGACGACGGATATTTCTGGTCTCCTCAATAAATGGAACGTATTTTGAAGAGTTTACCTACAGCTTTAGATATGATTTTGGGATAATTGTTGAGAAAATTAATTCTAAACATTTATTATTACTGGTTGAGTGAGAAACTCTCATTTTATTTTATTTAATATATACATTCAGTTAAAACTGGGTATCAAAACAACTAAGGGTCGTACAATTAAAGACAATAACATTATGAAGAAATCAAAATGACGGAAGAGAAGTACAGTCAAAATAAAGTAAACAACAACAGCATATAATAAGAGATACAGTTCAGTTCAAATTTTAAAAAAAGGAATAAGTTCTTTGAGTTCAAGAAATTTTCCTCACTTTTATGAATGTACAGTGACATCACAGTATAATCACTAATGACTTTTACTCTGACTTATATGAGTAATAACATTTCACGTCATTGGAATTGCAGAAATTTTAGAATGTCCTAACCGAGGAGTCACGTTGAACTGACGTTTGTTAGCCCTATGTAAATCTTTCGTTTATACTAAGGGATAATGTGGTAACCTGATCAACCCTCCAAACTTTTCTATTTGGGGTGAAATTTATAGCTATTACATACACACATATTCGGTATTTAAAAATGTGTAGGTGATTTAAATTTGTGTACATTTATTAGATGGAATATGGATTATAAGCATGTTGTGTAATATCATAGATACACACTACTGACAGTTGTCTCGTTTGCTTCCTCTATAGTCTCAATAATTATTCTTAAACTTATATCAATCATTACAAAAAAGCTTATCTTCATACCTAATATACATTAAAAATTCATTTGTTCACTCACCTAGCAATATCCGGATTACTTTGAAGTATCATATATGCTTTGGTATAATTTCCTAACACAAGTTCATGTTTAAACATTCGTGTCCATAAAGTAGCTTCTAAATCAGCTAAACGTGTATTAATTCTAGATTGAGGATCATTATCTGTGAAATAACAACAAATAAAGCATATTAATCAATTAATTAGTAATTAACATAAAATCAATCGGTTTGGGGTGGTTATAGGTACGAGAGCGAGTGTTGATTCCTGACTGCCTGCACACCAAAGATACTTCTCGAGGGATCTGAAAAGGGATCGGGGTTAGTGGTGGCCTTCGTAATCTCGCTAGTATATATTTTTGTTACGCAAATTACCAAACCATACTAGTATGACCAGATAAAATGGTAAAGGAATCGAAGTAATTTAGTGAAATGACAATGACAAAGATTAAACATTGAGAATACGGATCTAAAAAGACTGAATAAGGAATTATTTATAAAAGAAATACTAGAGCTCAAGAATTATAGTTAAAATGTGAATATATCATATTTATTAATTTATTTAAACACAAACATTGGTACAAGGAGGCAACAAATAGAAATGCTCCACATAAATCATTCTATTTGTGTAGGGGCTGGAATACTGCCCGGGTGCTCAAACCGAAACAGATGGTTTTCTTAGGGGGGCCACACTCGGAGCCTTCGACTTAAAGGTCTGATCCACAAGGCAGTGGAGAAACGTTAGGAGATGCAGTCGCATAATAGCGAGTGACCAATAATAAGTTTACACGCCTTTCGTTTCCTCATGATCCCGAAGTTCATGTGTACCACTGATTTGGAATCAGGGTTTTCTAACCCCTTAGGTGAATCTTCCATAACCACTAACCCGGTTAAAAGGGTCAGACTTTGACTTTTCGTTCTCCCAATTCCGTAAATAAAACCCTTGTCTTGAGAAGGCAGTGAGTGGGACTTCCTTGTCAGTGGCTATATACATGTAACTATTTGAGAGCATTTCGAGAGGGGGGCTGACTCTCTCAACTCTGGGCCATACTAGAGCATTAAGGGGACATTGTGACTGATTCTGAGATATATCATGCAATCGTTAACGGCACTTATAGTGAGGATCCCAACCACATAGTCTGCATTTATCAACATGGTAGACAACACTAAAGACTGAACAATAATTACTTTTTAAATCAATTTGAAATGAATATGTTGTAACTATTATCAAAATAAACTGATAGATAACAATTCTACTCAGAGGAAAATTTGTCAGTAACAGGCAATGAATCATAGAATAATCAATTACTTGGAACATCACATTGAAAGAAACCCTAATATATATGAAATCCACCACATATTTAAGATGATTAAACAACTTATGTTGTTATTGACGATTAATACTTTTATCATCATAATTCAAGGTTCATTGTTCTCTATTTTTGTTTCCTTCTTTCTAGTTGAAAACAATGCAATCAAACTGGAATCGTCTTTTCTCTGAGTTATTCTCATTTACAAACATGACGTTCCAAGTCTTCCTACTAAGTAAATAATAGTTTCTCTAATTATTGAGTTCTATTGAACATCTATTATTCTACAAACACTAGTAATTTTTGAAAATAAGTATGTTATAATATTAGAGTAGTTAATTTATTTGTACACTGCTTATAAAATACAATCCTATACTTACAAGACTGATTGCTATTACATTATATGATAACAGTGTTGTACTCTTTATAAATGCTGTCGTCAAAGATTATGCAGTTCGGACACCTCACATTATACTAAAATATCATTTAAAAAAGTGGTTCAGTCGAAATAAATTATGAATTACATTATTTCAAATAATAGGTCCTTCTTTCGTCTTCTGATTTGTGACTGTGGGGTTCTACATATACGACAGCCGTACGTTGCATATCGTATTCTGCCGTAATCAAGTAGGGGACGTACCAAGCACAATATGTAATAAAAGAGGTGTTGTCAAAATAATTATATGAAGAAATTCATATGAATTGGGAAAAATGAGTATGTCCATTAGGAATAGGGCAAAACAGATATAAATATAAATAGAATCGAAATGTAATAGGTTTATAATGTTCAGTTAAAGTTTATCGTGATACAGTTGTTGAACAAGGTAAACATATAGTCTGCGAACATACCTCTCTTGGATATATAAGTTAGGTTTTCTAGGGTTAATTCCGAAGGCTTCAACTATATAGGGAAGTCATAATCTTGCTTTATCAGGGAGATTATTTCAGGCAGAGAAAGCTTCATCTGATTTAATATGACATTCACTATACATCATATGAGAAATGATGGCGCTGTTAATAGATTAGGTGGTACTTTTTCTTGACCATACCGATAAATGTTCACGAGCACACAAGGATAAAGCCTTCATAGTACGGCCTATTTAACTGACTTCACAGTAGCAGTTAAACTGGTATAGACGCATGGAGGAGCCTATTATCATTAAGTTATTCTTGATTTATTGTGCAAATGCTGGATTATTTGTGGTCACATAGTAACGTATTAAAGTGTCACCCATTGTGTCCCCTTCAAAATCGAGTTGTAGATAAGCAATTTTTTAAATGCAGACCATTTCAACCACAAACAATAAAAACATATATAACTCGTACATAATATTAAGATGCATGCAACGCTTACCATTAACACTACATTCATTCTCAATAAAATCTGGATGTTTCTTTACTGAACCACATAGAAATCCGCTTAAATTATCGTTTTCCATGATTCCACGCAAACTTGCCAAAACAGAAGCTAAACGATGAGTTGATCTACCACCACTGTTTTGATTTAAACAATTTTCTGATTTGATTGAATTTTGTGTCTCAGCTAAACGATTTAAACAGAATTCCGCAAGATCAAGAATCTCTGGTACATAGTTAGACACTTCGAAAACAGACATTAACTACAAACGAAATCGAACAGGAGGGGAGGAAGAAAGTTGACAAAGATGAATGAATTATTTCATAGAACAAAAATAACAGTATTTATTTGTTTTAGACTTTTAAAATAAAGACAACTTACTTTCCATAAATCGTATCGAACCAAAATATCCGTTATTGTATAGTTCTACTACCCAGTACTAGGTAAAGTAATACAATTCACTCGTCAATCACATGGTCATGTGATTGAGTTTATTGAGCTTTACTACTTGTGTCAAACACTAGCGGATACAAACTAACCAACTGTTCAAGACAGAAAAGATTTGAACTTGTAACCAGTAAACTGTAAGAAAGTCATTTCAAATGAATGTACAGCAGCGGTAAAAAAGAGACAGAATCATACGATAACAATTACATTATTGTTTTAAATTACAAAACTTGTCGAAAAAAGAGATGCTTACCTTCATTAAGAATCGAATTTGTACTTCAACTGGAGAAAGTGAACACATTGATAGTTCATTGGTATTTCTACTGTTACCATCACCATTCACTGTTGATTCATTTAAACTAAATAATTTCGATAGTGAAAATTCTTTTGGGAATAATATTGGCATTAACAGTTTGGGGACATTTTGATTGATTGTTGAATTAGAATGATGAACTGATGATTCTGTTAAATAATTCATAAATAATTGTGTATAACAATACAACCAATTACTAGCTGTAATAAAATGTTTCTTAGCTGATCCCGATTCACTAAAAGTACATGAAAATAAATACATCAAATAAATTGAAAAATGAATGAATAAGTGAATAACAGCAATTTAAGTAGACTTTTGTTGGAGGTGTTGTGATCTCTTCTGAGCTAGATGACTTAATTGTGACGCTTCCAATGCTCTGTTGAACATCAGTTCTGTTGACTTGGAAACCCAGTAAATTGCTACCCATAATTGTGACAGAAAATAGACGAACAATCAGATTCAAGGTCAACAGAACAAGTTGTTAGTTAATTACAGAAAAATTCTAATAGCTCACTTCTGTTGAAAGTATGTACTGATGATGTTGTTCAGAAGTATATTTAAAGCTTGATAATTAGACCATCAAACTCAGTAGAGACCACAACATAACACCAACAGCTTCTTCTTGTACTAAAAATATTCTCCACCATCGTAAGTACTGTCTACAAAAAATTAGCAGTATCAATTCAATCAAAATGAAGTAATCTTACTTCAAAATTGATTATTTACATATTTTAAGAAAAATCAAGTGGCAGAGACACTATGACGATAATCTAACCATTTGACTCAACCATCTATTTAATAGTAGGTGTGACGGATGATGTGTGCAAAAGACAGGGACATAATCAGAGAGGGTATATGACCTGGAATTTACCAGGAATTTTTTCGCTAAAAAGGGATAATTGAAGGCCTTGCTCCTAGTTACAACATATAGAAAACAGGTATTATTACCAAGGTTTGATTTGATAATTTCGAATAAATTGAGCATTGGGTAGATTGTTATAAATAAATAATATATATGTAATATCCCAATGAGTAGAAAAATTAGATTTTCTGACGTTTCGTGACTTAGTGTAAGCCACTTCAGAGAATAAATAACCAAATTAAAATTATATATATAAAACAGTTTATTTAATCCATTCCGGATTACGTTTCTAGACTTGATGACATCTAAATTGTAGTTCGCATGAGACCTTGAACGTTATAGAGTAACACGAACCTCTTATTGTTTAGTTTCATGTGTTGCTTATTCATTTAAGTTTAAAGTCTCATTCGTCTTGGGGATTAATCAGACAAACTAATAACGGCCGAGTCAGGAGTTATAAATTGAGTATATCCTCAATAAACCACTATGAATTAATGGCATTCAACACACTGGTTTACAACTAATGGGGTAGTCACAAAATAAACTATCGTCTAAGAAGTAAATAGAGAGACCCTGCTTCGGTTTAGGCACCCGGGCAGTATCACAGCCCTCGCACAAATCAAATGAGATTTGTGTGGTGCATATGTATTTGGTACCTCCTTGTACCTTGTGCTCAAATAATAATAGTAATAGAGATAATTTCCACAAGATAAAACGCAGCTATTGAGCTCTACTTACTCTAATATAAGGTTGATTACGGATCGCAGATTCTACTCACTACTATGTTATATATACCATCATCTTACCAAAAGACAGACTGAAGTATGAGGCAGCTAGCCACCGCTGGCATTGGAAGATAGTCGCCCCCTGGATGCCCTGGTACGGCCGAGAGTGGGGAGAGTCCGCTCTCCCTCTCGAAATACTCTCACACGGCCGCGCGTATACAGCCTCTGCCAGGGAAGTCCTACTCATTGCCTTCTCGTGGCGGGGGTGTTGTTTACGAAAATGAGAGGACGAAAAGCGAATGTCCGGCGCTTTACCCGGATTCCAAATCAATGGTGCACATGGGCTCCAGTATCCTGCGGGAACGAATGGCGTATGAACCAATCGTTGGTCACCGGCTACCATGGGACTGCATCTCCTTACGATACTCCACTGCCTTGTGGGTTAGACCTTTAGGTCAAAGGCTCGGGGAGTGGCCCCCTAAGATAACCACCTGCTTCGGTTTGGGCACCCGGGCAGTATCACAGCCCACACACAAATGATGAACTCTTTATGTCTATGGAAATTACTTTTGTCGCTTTGGAAAACAAACAATTGATTCATATTATTATCATTACAATTATTGTCATTATTAATACTAATATTATTATTACTACTATTATTGTCATTATTATTATTATTATTATTATTATTATTATTATTATTATTATTATTTTCCACATTATTCACCCTCTTTTATACTTATACAGCTACCTTGACGTGGTGGTCGGGCTTGCCTATCGTGATGAAGCAACCGAGCTATACTGGCTGGAACAACCGTTCCTCAAGGTCCTACCATGTCAGACAGGTCGGTTGAAGAGCGGTAAGACTAAAAGCAACAAACCCAAGGTCCGAAGGCGAAGTCGTACTGCTGACTGTACAGAGGTGTGACAGCAGTAAGGTGTTTCCTTCAGACAACCAGCATGACAGCGATGCTGCCTTCCCACAAGGAGGGGTGGGGTTAGAAAAGGTCGACCCTAAAAATGCACACCTCGCCTTATCCCACGGATATCCGTCTCCGGCGGTAAGGTCTCAATAAGTACGGAGCTAACACAAAAATTACCCATAACAAGGTCGTGTGTGACCGACCTCAAGCAGTTGTCCCTTGGGCACTGCGGTCACGCTCTCAGTTCACTAAGACCACCTTTAATCCAATTTCCTTTTCAGGTACCTCCAGAACAACCCTTCCACGGTGTGGGCAACCGGGAAGTGATAACCGCCCTCATACTTCTAACAGCACTCAAGTCCACTGTATTCATAATCAACCTCCTTCTTCAATTCCTATTATTCCTCCTACATCGACTTTCAACTCTGTATTTCCTCTCTCGGCTTCCACCTCAAGTGTCACCGTAGCCAACGATTCTAGTGCGCAAAACACTGTCCCAGGTCTACTGAAACCTCGCTCCAAACTACACATTGGAGCCTTCAACGTACGCACCCTATGTCAAATCGGTCAGCAGGCTTCCTTGGCTAAAACCCTAGAGTCTCTTTCCATTGATGTATGCTGTGTCTCCGAAACACGCATACAGGATTCCAGTGTGGTCATTCACTTGACCTCACCTCGGCAAGACGGAGAGCCAACGAGATACACCCTTCGTGTGTCCGGTGACCCGATGGCAAGTTCTCGTGGACTGGCAGGTGTAGGCATAGCACTAAGCATAAGGGCCGAACAAGCACTGCTAGAGTGGATCCCCGTCAACAGTCGTCTATGTGCTGTTCGGCTGAACGGCTACGTAAGAACTCGGAAGGATAGGGACACACGTCGTTGCCTTTTTGTCGTTTCTGCCTACGCTCCCACTGACTGCAGCTCAGATGAAGTGAAAGATGAATTTTACAGAAAGCTATCCGAACTTCTTCAGAAAGCTAAACGCTCAGACATAGTACTCGTAGCAGGTGATTTTAATGCTCAGATAGGCAGTTTAAACCAAACAGAAAGGCATTTAGGTGGATATTTTAGTATTCCGACACAGCGAACAGATAATGGTGATCGTCTGCTGCAGCTATGCTCAGACAATCGTTTATTTTTAGCAAACACAAATTTTAAGCATAAGGAGAGACATCGTCTAACATGGCGACCCCCTACACCAAACCAACGATGGACTCAAATAGACCATATTGCCATCAGTCATCGTTGGAGAGGGTCGGTAGAAGATTGTCGTTCATTCTGGAGCACCTGCTTGGACTCCGACCATGCCCTAATACGGGCACGCATCTGCTTGCGCCTCAATGGACGCAAAAAAGCCACATTAAAAAGACCCATTAGAACTGAGTTGAGTAACGAGAAAACCAAAAGTAGGTTCCAGGAACAACTGAGGTCACACTTAGTTAGTTGTGAAGACGAGGCTGACCCAGATGTTGCTTGGAAGGACATACAAGCAGCTGTGGAAACAGCAGTGACATCTGTTAGTGACTTAAACCACAGAGTTACAAGGAACCAGTGGATTTCTTCAAGGTCTGTCACACTGATGGATTCTCGCAAACTCGTCCCATCAGGTTCTGAACATGATGAAGAGCGTAAACAAATCAGATCTAGGTTAAGAAAAAGTCTAAGGAACGACCGTGAGCAGTGGTGGGTAACGAAAGCAAAAGAGATGGAAAAGGCGGCGACTATAGGGAACACAAGACAGCTTTACAGACTAATAAAAGAAACTGGAACTAATAAGTCAAGTGTAAGTGAGATTATTTCGGAAAAAGATGATACTCTCATCTGCTCCCAGTCCAGACGTTTAGAACGATGGGCGGAACATTTTAGAGAACAGTTCAGCTGGCCTTCAGCTACTCTACAACTACCCTCCATTCCCAGACAAAGTGAATGGAACATTGAAGTAGGTCCCCCAACTCTTGCTGAAGTTGAGAAGGCTATAGTTAATCTGAAACGAGGAAGGGCAGCTGGTCCAGATGGACTGGCTCCAGAAGTCTTTAAGGATGGTGGTCCAATTTTAGCGACTAGGTTGACTAATATTTTGGCTAAAATCTGGGAGTTAGACGTTATCCCATCTGACTGGTCGCAATCACTTATCGTCCCAATATATAAGAAAGGGTCAAAATCATCCTGTGACAACCACAGAGGGATTAGTTTAACAAACATAGTATCTAAAATACTGGCCTCGATAATTATCAAACGCCTAACTAAGACTCGTGAACTACAAACACGAGAGAACCAAGCTGGCTTTAGACCTGGTCGTGGCTGCATCGACCACATATTCACCATTCGTCAGGTTCTAGAACACAGGCATACCTATCGGCGTCCGACGATGGTGGTCTTTCTTGACTTAAAAGCAGCATTTGACTCTGTAGACCGCGAGACTCTGTGGCAGTGTCTGTCATTGAAAGGCGTACCTCAGAAGTACATAAACCTTGTGAAGGCTCTTTACTCGAACACTACTAGTCGAGTCAGGGCTTATGGCGAACTGTCATCTACCTTTACAACCTCAAGTGGTGTCCGTCAAGGCTGCCCACTTTCTCCATTTTTGTTTAACTTCATCATAGACCTATTGATGGAAATAACACTCTCGTCGACTGAATTCTCGGGTATTGATCTCCTTCCAGGAGGTCCACTTATCGACTTAGAATATGCAGATGACATAGTCCTGTTTGGTGAAGACGCTGAC